CATTGCGACACCAACTTGATGGAACAGACGCCCGTCGAATTGGAACTGGACATTTTTAGTACCTATGTATGTATACATATCTTGGCTGCGAGTTCTGTTAGGTTTTTGTGCTACTGTTTGACGACGAATATGGTTACTTTAATGTATTTCTCTTAAGGAGTGGGCATTGCTTACTATATATTGTCTCTATGCAATAAAGAAGAGAAATCAAAGTAAATATTTACTAAAAACATTCTAGATGGTGCAATTGCTTCAGTGCAACAATATAAAGGACCACATATTACTTATTTTGAAGTCACCACCTGTAAAATTTCAACTCGACGTTCGGATTTCGTATTGAATGGTAACCGCTAACTAACAGATATCCAACACTGCACGTCACCTTAATTAGTACTCATTTTTCTCATTGTCTAACCATTATCTAAACAAAACAGCTCCTTTCCAAAAGTATCTTAACATTCTATTTAGCGTTATCCAAAAAGATTGGTCAACAGTTATTAAAAGCTGCCACGCTTTTTTTAAAGAATTTTCAGAGTATCTCTTCAGAAAAGAATAGTAAAACAAAGTGATATCATTATGAACAACAAATGGTATTCAAAACATCATCCATTAAATAATACTGTCTCACCATATAATATATCTAATAAACTAATTAATATGGAAGTAGGACAGAATAGTAGTCAGTTATTGGAGTCCGAAGGTAAACTGAAAGAGGTGGTGGTTATTTGGTAATTACAGGTGTCTTTAACCACAGTTGTCTATATTTTATCTCCTGTATTAAGTAATATTGAGGTTAGGCGTAGATTGTTAGGTGGGGAGGGAAAACCAATCGATGAGGATGTGAAGTTACATCAATTGAGATGGCTAGGATACGTGTTAGGCATCCTAAACCACTGCCTTCCTCGACGGGCAATACTAGCTGACGTATAATCTCGTTGGAAGAGTTAAACGTGGTCAAATCGAAACTTGGCATCAGTCCATAAGATCTTTCGCAGTTAGTTTAAGCCACGTTGACAGGTGTAAACTTCTTGGTTAGGGTTCTCGGGATGCTAAGAAATAATTGCTGGAGACTATAGGTGATGTGGTCCAAAATCGTTCTCAATGGCGCAGATACATTCACTCTTTGTGATTTATCATATCCAATAAAACTCTGTTGTTCTTCAACATTACTATTCTTCTTTGCTCACACTTCTGTTTATTATCTCTCCTTACTCCATTCTCTTGCTTTTTTTGCTACATGGATTGTAGCAACTCAAACTGCTGCATATCTGTGCAAAGTGCTTTGGTAAAATCTTATCATTTATTTGGTAGTTGGTAAAAAAAACCTGTAGAACTTCAAGTAATTTGGTGAACTGTGACTACCGGTGTAATCGAGGATGCGCATCTCATCCTATTTACCCCTCGTCAATGGATGTATCTACATTGTTTTGTCAGTCATAGTCTGTCTGCTTTCGACCTAGAACTTTGCACATATGTGCGGCAGTTCAAGTCGCCACACTCCATGTAGCACACAAAGCAAAAGAAGAAAGTAGGAGAAATGCATGTTAGAGACAGTAAACAGAGGTGTGAGACAAAGGAATAGTAATAACGGAGAACAAACCAGTTTCATTGGAAATCATAAGTCACAAGGAGTGGATGCATCTGCACCATTGAGAACGATTTCGAGCCATGTCACCAATTGTTTCCAACCATTGGTTTTACCGTCCCGAGGACCCCAACCAGGAAGTCTACATCTTCCTACGTGGCTTAGACTAACTGTTGTGGATTTCATTGACTGGTGCCATGTTTTCGTTCGACCGCCGCTAGCTCTTTTCCAGCCTGACCCTATATCAGCTAACATTGCCCATCGAGGAAGGCGATGACTAGGCATAGGTAACACATGTCCTAGCCATCTCAGTCGATGTAGCTTAACAGCCTCGTCGATTGATTTCCCCTCCTTACCTAGCACTCGATGCCTAACCTCAATATTGCTCACCTTATTATACCACTTCACGCGGGAGATAGAACGCAGACACCTATGATCGAACACAGATAATCTTTTTATGTCTTCTGCTCTTAATGGCCATGTCTCACAGCCATAAAGGAGGACGGAGCGGACTGATAAGCAGTACACACGCCTTTTGGTCGATAGTCGGATATCACGTCTACTAAGCCAGAGATGGCGTAAAGTGGCATATGCGAAACTAGCCGTCTGTGTTCGTGCTGAGATTTCGTCGGAGATCAACCCGTTGGGGCTGATGGTACTTCCCAAGTAAGTGAAGTGGTCAACGTGTTCTACCACTCCACTTCCTATTTCTAATCTAGGAGTCGGTGAAGTCCAATCCTGCAGCATCATCTTACATTTTACAGGGGCGAATCGCATGCCAAACATACGAAAATTGTTGCTCAAGGTGTTCAGAAGACTCTGCATTTTGTCAGCGTCCTCACCTAGAAGGACTATATCGTCCGCATATTCTAAGTCGACGAGATTATTCCCTGGTAGCAAGTCAATCCCTGAGTCGCTGAGGTGTGTTAGGGTTAAGTCCATTAATACGTCTATGCTGAAGTTGAATAGGAATGGGGATAATGGGCATCCCTGACGGACGCCACTAGTCGTCACCACTTCAGATGACAACTCGCCGTAAGCCCTCACCTGGCTGCATGAGTACGAGTAGAGTGCCTTAATCAATGCAATGTATTTTCTTGGCATTCCTTTTACAGCCAAGCATCGCCAGAGAACCTCTCGGTCGACAGAATCGAATGCCACCTTTAGGTCAAGAAATATAGTGATTTTTGGACGCCGGTAGGAATGCCTATGTTCTAGAATCTGTCGAAGGGTGAAGATATGATCAATACACCCTCTTCATGGCCTAAAACCTGCCTGGTTTTCTCGTGTTTGTTTTTTCCGAGCACCGCTTAGTCTACGCATGATTATTGAGCCCAGGACTTTAGATACCATATTAGTCAAACTAATCCCCATGTGATTATCACAGGAGGACTTGTCTCCCTTCTTATATACGGGGATAATCAATGGCTTACACCAACCCTATGGGACTTCCTCTGATTCCCAGACGCTGCCTAGAACCTCCGTTAATGCAGGCAGTAAACTGTATTTAAATACCTCTGGAGTCATTCCATCAGGTCCTGCTGCTTTGCCTTGCTTCAGACTAGTGAAAGCTTTAGTAACCTCAGTTAGGGACGGAGGACCTTTGTCTATATCCCATTCAGGGAGATGTTGGATGTTCGGCAGGTTAAGTGTGGCTGTAGGCCAATTAAAGTGCTATTCATAGTTCTCTTTCCAGCGTTCCAGTCGTTTATCCTGAGAGCTAATTATGGTGCCATTTTTCTCCGAGATTGTTTCACGTATCATTTGCCTTTTGCCACTTGTTTCCCTAATAAGCCTGAATAGTTGTCTGGTGTTGCCAAACGCCGATGCCTTTTCCACCTCCGCTTTTGTCGCCCACCACTGTTCACTGTCGTTGCGAAGACTTTTTGTTAGTTTTCGTTTAAGTCATGGTATTCACACTGTGACTGGAACCCAGTACCCATCGTTTCAAACGCCCAACCATTATCCATTTGACTACTTGAGTCACCTCTTGTACAACGATCATCAGTTATTATTGGTTTTTAATTCAATTTTGATTTTGCCGTTGACTGATTAGAACGAAATGTTCGGCCTGTACTGATATGTCGTCTCCTAGTACGGACGCTTCGACGATGTCTGAGGATTAACTTGAAGTAATTTAGTGGATTCCTGGGTTCCACTGTCAGTTACCATCCCCCAAATTACTTCAAGTTTAATCCTCTGACATCATCGAAGCGTCCGTACTAGGAGACGACATATCAGTACAAGCCGAACATATGGTTCCAATCAGTCCACGGGAAAATTAAAATTATATTGAAGACAGATGACGTAGAACATAGCGTAGAAATGCATCACTGCAATGGAAAACGCGCAAGTGTAATGGAGAGAATATTATTTGAAGTATCCACCGAGGATGTCTACGGTTGAGTCTGACTTAGCTATAAAAGAAAACCGTTTTACTACAGTTTCACACACATTTGTATTCTCTCCTGAGGATTCTTTTGTCTTCTTAGAGAACTCGGACATTATAGCTCTGTTTAGTGAAGACTTATTCTGACCTCCTTAAGCAGAAATTTGAAAATATTTGAGAGTATGTTTATATAAATTTGTTTGAGGTTAGTTTGTCAACTTATGGTTTTTCTAAAATATAATCCACGTTAGTGATGTAAGGAATTTACAGATTCAGATATTGTAATGCTGATGCCTATCGAACTAATTAAGTATTCAACAGTTTGCCAATATACAGCTAACTACTCAGCACAGACTACATATTACTTGTGCATTTTGGTTTTGGAGTTATTGAAAAATTTAAAAAATACATTCATATTAGTATATTCCCAATGTAATGATAGCACTGTTACTACGGTGATATTCGTGTTCCACTCAACAGCAGTAAGTATATCTCTGAAGTTTAATCCTTGGTCCTTGCATTGCTCTATGTTTATGGCTAAATAAGTAGTAGTAAGTGTATGTAAACGTCACTTAACATGGATTAAAAAGATATGATTAAGGAATAGTATCTTTTTACACATGTTTGAGCCATAATTCAATGAATATGGAAATTTGTCTCTGCTGAGATACAGTCCAACATTAAACCACTTTACTTAGAACATGCTAGTGAAATCAGAACATAAGGTCTTGGGACGTTTTTCAGTGTACTAAAGAAAAATGTAGACGTTTATTGTAGTCTGCAAAGCAACGGAAATCGACTTCTGAAAGTTAAAGGTAATGCTCGTAAGAGTCTGTTACCAATGTAGATTTATTCACATTATAAATTTATTCTAAATAGTGCTTTTGTTTACTTGACGCTGTAACCTGTATTGTTTATTTCTCCTCATTATATTATCATTTTCTGTACTAACAGAACAGCTTTAATCTTATTCCTGATATTCATCAGAAAAACATTACTTCTTTATTATGGTTTCGCTTTTTCCAGGTGACCATATGCCTGGTCAAAGCTAAGCTGGGTTTATGTTGGTGTTCCTTAATGGTCGATAATTGGGAGGCAGATTCACTGGTTGTTGAGCAAATGAAGCAGAAACTTATACTGGAGAGATTACAAGTTGAAAATCCTGGGATGGACTTCAGTTCAGCCGAAATATCTGGGGACGTTCGCAATAGTGGATCAACACTTTAACTTTGCTCTGTTGTGCGACGATTTCGAAATAAAACATTCTTCAAAATCCTTTTTTTGTTCGTTATTTATCATTTTGTACTATCCATTATGTAATTTTTTTTTCAGAATGTGGATAAAACTCTGCTGTACAGAACATTTCTTCCAGCTCGTGCGTCTGAAAAATCAAAGTGTATTCTATCCGAGGTAGATTCTACACCTAAACATCATAGTGTTCAACTCTCTGGTCAAGAAGCACGTAGTTACTATGAATCACTTACTCAATGTGTAGCTAAAAAATCAGATTCATCAGTGCCTGTTTCAACTTCGCGTGAATGTACCGTTTGTGGCGTTGATTTTGATGACTATGAAAAACACGTGTCATCTATCAGTCATCAGGTGGTAGAAATGCGTAGCAGAACTTTAAAACCATCACCTCTTATAATCCCTCCTTCAAATAAAGGTTACCAAATTTTAACTAGAATCGGTTGGAGTGATGCTGCTTTTAATGTAGACGAGGAGTTAAGTATTTCAATGACATCAACCAATGCTTCTTTGGCGTCTGCATCACAATCTTGTTCTAAAGGCAGTGGTCTTAATGCTGCCAGAGAAGGTCGGCGTTTTCCAATCGCAACTGTTCTTAAACGAGATCGTTTGGGATTTGGTTGGTCCAACAGTACTAATACTGCGAAAATCACCCATTTCAACTCTGGTGATATTAGAGCGATTCAAAATTTACGAAATCCTAAACATTCTTCTGTTAAAAAAAATACCAAATTTTTAGTCCAAAAAATGAGTCGAGAAAAAAATATGGAACGTACAATAAGAGAAAAGCTTAACTTAACTGAAGAACAGTTTTCTATACTTCATGGCAAATGAACTTTTACTCCATTAGTTAAAAATATCACTTCGCATAAGCATCCTATTTTTGCTTAGCCGTTATCTCATTATTTACTCATTTTTTTATCTGACGAGAATTTTATGAATTGGATTAAACATTAAGTCCTCATGTCAAAAGTAAATCTATATGTAAATAACGAACCGAGTACACAGTTATTGTACTAACAGAAACTTCCAGTTCATAAAAATGTGACAATGTTCTAATATTTTAGTCTTTTCCACATGTAGTTAGCATTTTTTTGAAAGACGGTGTGTGCACCTTATTGTTGTACATAATTACTCCACTTTGTCTGCCTGTTTCTCCTCAAAAACAATATTATTCTGTTTTTTGGTTTAAAGTGATTCAATTATAATGCGCTTATATATAAACCAGGCATTTCTACTTTCTAATTGAAAACGAGATATTCCTAATTGCTGCTCCTTTGTACCTTATCTAGTGTTACGCGTAGTCTTGTTCTTACACTGTATATATCTTCTAGGAGTAGTTCTCGTATAGTGTACCAGTAAGTGATTGGAGATGTGCTGTTCCACTCGGAACCTAAGTGCATAATAATAAAGAAAAATAATATAATATACCAAATGACCGTCAGGACAAGCTAGTAAGTCGGAGTTAATTAGATTATCAGAAGATAGAAATTTAGCTAGACCTAGAATGACTGATAAGTTAAATAATCCGCAGAAAAACTCTTATTGCAATGAATCTACTTGCATGTAACCACAAGGATAGGATGAAAGTATTAGAAGCTAATATATTTTTATCAAGACAATTTGATTGCGTGTAATACTAATCAATGAATATTTTTGGTAATTTTCGTGACTCTTAGAATAATCTTGCTATTTAAGTCAATGAAATTAATCGATAATTTTTCATCTCTTTCTCTTCTACCTACGGTAATAATGGAAATATGTCTATCTACCTATATATTAGGCAGACAAAATATATTTTGGAATCATTGTTTTTCGTTGCTTTTTCTGCAAATTATAAGCGAAAAGTACTGACTTTTGAGGATAGTCAATACATCTAAATCTGTGGTAGATGTAAGCTAGTTACCTATTTTGTGTTTCCGAAAATAAGTAAGTTTTTAACAGTTCTCCTAGATTAATCCAGCCTGAGCATCTGCATTATTGTGTATGTAACAAAGTCTTGTCATTCTCAGTGTCCTGTTACAGGCACATTTAAGTATAATTTAGCAAATCCCATTGGATATTCAAACAAGAAATATTCCACAGAACACCTGATTTTAATAACCCAGTTGTGCAGTGTTTCAGAAGATCGTGAAACAACTTGTGGCATTTATAATACCATTAAATTATGTGGATAAATTGATACCCAATTAGTTCTACAGTGAACTGAATTATTGAACTGGCATTTGAATTACGAGTTCACATAATCATCATTTACACTAAAAGTGAATGGATTCCAGAAGGGTGAATTGCTTGGTTGTCGCTGAAATAAACGGTCACTTTCATTTGGAAGGTTTAACTGAGATTATATACCAGTATACTGTATGCCAAAGAAATAGTTGTCAAACCAATGGCAATATGAAGCTGGAAATTTCAAATGGTTGCATAAAAATTACGCATACCGACTAGCAGTGTTGCCTGACGTAGATGTAAGTTGTGGTGACTGACGATTTCTCTTACTGCATTGTGTAAATGTTCGATTTTGCTTGTTTCTACTTACTTTATGTACATAATACCAGTAATTTTGCCGAATACAAATCTTTTTTCTCTTCTTGAATTGTTATTGTCTGGTTTACTGGTATAGGGTCATTGTTGATTACAATTACAAATAAATTTTACAGCGTGTTATTCAAAATGTTAAACACCGGTAGTTGCAGACTTTTGGTGACACGGTTTAAAATCCATCACGGATACAAGTTAACACAAAACGGAGAAACAAAAGAAATTTACTATATACCTATGACTGACTTCATCAAATGTGCTGCGGAAGGCTTAGTATGAAACACCAATTCTAACGAAGGTATTTCCGTTGGAAATCTGCGATCTGAGATACAGATGCTTCCTTGAAACTAAAGTATTATCATTAATTCATTGGGCTCGGAGGAAAAAAGCAATACAAAAATATACATAAATTAATCGGAATATCTAAAACCCTAATTAACTGTCCACAAAATCATTCACTTCCGCCGGAAAAGACCTAATCCATGACAACCTAGGATGATTTCCCCTCAACACTCCACTCGAGGGATGGCCCGGCGTGCGATGTCATTCGATGGTCTCCTCAGCGTGTACCTAATTCGTCCCCATTTTCGCCTACATATTTGTTGAACAGTAGCTTCTTGTTCGGTTGGATCTCATAGTTTCTTGCAGTTAATCCTTTCTGGTCATCTAATCCTCAGTATCACCAAGCGAAGGCAGCTGTTGATGAAGGTCTGCAGCTGGCTGGTGGAAATGCCTTTCGTGACGTGCAGTGCATGTTTCTGACCCATATAGAAGATTTTGAACAATGCGAGAACTACAGTTTTAGCAGAATAAAGTGGTACCATCTTTTATTTCGTTGCCTTCTCGTCAGCTGCTTACAGGGCAAAGACATTATTAAATATATCAACAAAAACAATTTTAACATACGTGCATAGAGTTCATTTTAAACAAAAACCAATCGATCAATATACGCATACACTAATTATATATATATATATATATATATATATATTATTAAACACTATTCCGAACAGTAATGATCATACACAATGGAGACTTTTCAGCATTTCGCATTCGGATGAAAGAGCGATGAAAAATATCCAGTTACCAGGGCAAAGAAAGACTGATAACCACTTCTTTCTGGACGCATAAATCAGGTTTCAGGCGCTTGATGGAAATGCCTTCAGCAAACTTAAGGAGAATTGAGCTCTTTTGCCTATTGATAATTTTGAACGACTTTTCGACGTCCACCTCATGACCCGTGTCGAGGAGATGCCTGGCGATGGCACTGTTTAAAGCATTTGTTCCCTTTAGAAGAACCGACTGAATAACATTGGTGTTGAAAATCTGAATCTTGTTCCTTATACTGAGTGCAGAAGATTTCCAAACTCATCTCAGAGTGATGAACGTGTACCTTGCCTTCCTGATTCTGGCTTTGACATCTTCACCTGTTCCGCCTGCAGTCGAAACGATGCTTCCTAGATAGGTGAAGGAAGTAACTTCTTTCAAATTTCTTCCGTTGATAGAGATTGGTGTTGGTTGTTTGTTAGTTATCTCCATCACCTCTGTCTTTTCTATTTTCACTTGAAGTCCTGTCCTCTCTGCTTCTTCTGCCAGTTTTTTGGTTTTCGCCTGCAAGTTTTCTAGTCTGTGTGACATGAAACGTATATCATCTGCGAAATCCTGATCTTCTAGAGTCTTCTTATCTGTCCAACTTATTTCTCTCCTCCTGCTGACCATAGTCTGATGCATGACCGAGTCCACCACAATTAGAAATATCACTGGTGATAGCAGAAAACCTTGACTTACTACTGTGTCCAGTTCAGAGGCTTCGATGAGTTTTATATTGTGTATCTATCATTTGATATGTACCACTGTCATATAGCTGTTGAATAAATTTATTATTATGCACTTAGGTTCCGAGTGGAAAAGCACATCTCCAATCACTTACTGGTACACTATACGAGAACTACTCCTAGAAGATATATACAGTGTAAGAACAAGACTACGCGTAACACTAGATAAGGTACAAAGGACTCACAGACTACCTATATCGTACTAAACCAGCTGGCAATCAGTGTCTGTATGTATGCCACATACCTTGCAAAGTATTCTAGCAAGACTAGCAGGAGCCTAAACCTGTCCTCACCCTTATAGGTTAAGCACAAGATATCATCTAGAAGTTCGCGTACTCAAGTGGTTTCACTGATGGTGGATGAAAATTCCAGTTTTCTAGTGAACAACAGGATGTCATACACTAACCTGGAACACCTTGGATTGATTTTCCAGATTAGAGTCGTTAACCACATACCCACAATTTCCTATTTTCCCGCGCGTAAGGATAGCTAGAATACTAGTAAACTCTCTGAGGTTTTAATTCCATATGAGACAAGTTTATTTGATATGAGACACAGTAATGCAGTATCAATAACTGGATGACGAATCAAGCACATTTTGTCGCTCACAATCATATCAGTTTATTCACATGGTTGCAGAATTTGCATTATGTGTACTTTTCTCTCTCCCCATTGTTGTCTATTGCAATTTGCCCTATCTCCGCCATAGGCGTTGCATCATTTCGGTCACACGTCTTTGGAGTCGATTCGATGAACAACGATTCAGTGATTAACATCTGTTTCCATCTAACTATATTAGTTTCTAATACTTTCATCCTATCCTTGTGTACATGCTTGTGGTTGTTCACGCTGCCTCCAATCACCAAGTCACTGAAGTCGCAGAAGTGTGCAGTGAGTTCTTCGTTCTCATTAATTTCGCTGATAGCCTAAGAACCCATGTTGATTTCTCATCCTGTACTGCCTGCTCCCAGTTTGACATTCATGTCGCCCATAAGGATTTTGAATTCACCATTTGGGATGTTGTCCATCACTGTTTGCATTTTTCTATGGAAACCCTTCTTCTTCATCTCTTGTTCTGAGTTGTTTTTAGACTCGTAGCATTGGATAATTGTCACCCTCATTCCTTTTGAGTTGAATCTTGCTGTTACTATTCTGGAGGAGATCGATCCCTACTTCATAATAGCTTTTGTTGCTGTTGGTGATATCATGATAGTCACTCTCTTAGTGTGCTCGTGGTTTTCGTCTTGGTGACCGGAAAGATCACTGACTCTCCAGTTGAGAATTTCGATAGTTCACATCTATTCCACCTGCTCTTACAGGATCTTAGCGCTTCTGTGCTATATCTTTTCACTTCTTTGGCAGCCTAAGCAACCCTCTCAGCTTCGTACATTGTACGTACACCCTATATCCCAAGGCTTACTTTTGCTTTCACCAAGAGAAGGCACATCTGCCAAATGG